CAGGAACGCAGTGGTGGTCGCGGTTTTGCGATTGGAGGTCGGAGGAGGGAGATCGGACCGGAAGAACACCGAAGAGTCGCGGTTTTCCGGAGACCCAAACCACCGCAAAACTTGTCCCCGTGGGTATAGAATTGTGCGCGCCGACGAGAGGAGCACGGGGGTGCTTTCGGATTTTGATTTGGAGCTCCGGTGAGGGAGATATGGCCGGAAAACCGCCTGAGAAGGAGAGAGGCGTGTTTTTCCGGTGTAGGAGAGAGAGAGAGAAACCAGAAAAAATGAGGAGAGAGAGAGAGTATTTACGGGCGTCGCCCGATTTTTATCTGTCAGGGGGCAATTACGGGCTGAATTACGACCGTAATCGCCCCTTGCCAGCCCGTATTTACAACGTCGCGAGCCCAAATCACCCCTGTACCAATTACGGGCAGGATTACGACCGTAATTGGTCCGATCCTGCCCGTAATTGCACTGCCGAGGCTTCTCCCCTCTTCTAACTGAATTACGGGCAGGGGGCAGGAAAATAAGACCGTAATTAGGCCCCCCTTGCCAGTAATTGCACTGCCGAGAGCCCTGTTCTTCAATTTTTAAACCGCAATTTCGGACAGGCAAAACCATACGTGCCCTGGCTCGAAAATAGACACTACCACAGACAAAAACATACCATCCGAGGCACGAAAACATTCCAGAAAGACTCCAGACAGACTCAAAGACTCCAAAACCGACAAAAACGAAAAGGGAAAAAGGGCAGAAATGCAAACCGTGGTGGGGTTGCCTCCCCACAAGCGCTTCTTTACCGTCTTTTAGCTGGACGCCAGTAGAGGAACTAAGGGTCCTCGAGCTTGATCAGCAGCTCTGCATGCTCGACAGCACCGCCCAAGTACAATTGTAGGAGGTGGCCATTCACCTTGAATGGCTCAGTTTGAGCATTGCTGATCTCCACTGCCCCGTGCGGGAATACTTGGGTGCCCATGAAGGGTCTCGACCACCTCGAACGTAGCTTGCCCGGGAAGAGTTTTAGGCGTGCATTGAAGAGAAGAACACGATCACCTACTTGAAACTCCTTCGGGCCCCTCAACCGAGCGTCGTGGAGATACTTGGTTCGCTCTTTGTAGAGCAGGGTGTTCTCATAGGCGTGGTAACGACATTCCTCCAACTCCAGCAGCTACAACTTACGTTCAGTACCTGCAACACTCAAATCCAGGTTTAGCAGCTTAAGGGCCCAGAAGGTCTTGTGCTCTAGCTCTACTGGCAACTGACACGCCTTCCCATAGACAAGCCTATAGGGGGAAGTGTCAATCGAGTTTTTAAAGGCTGTCCTATATGCCCAAAGAGCATCATCGAGCTTGGTGGACCAATCCTTGCAGGACTGATCCACCGTCTTTTCAATTATTCTTTTAAGCTCCCGGTTCTTCAGCTCGGCTTGCTCATTTGACTGGGGATGGTAAGCCACCGACACCTGAATCTTAACACCATAACGAGAGAGGAGTTTAGTGAATTGCCCTTAAAAATGGGTTCCTCTATCACTAATGATGGCGCGAGGTGTCCCGAACCGGGAGAACAGCTGCTTTAGAAATGAGCAGACCCGTCTTGCATCATTGGTGGGCATGGCTTGAGCTTCTGCCCACCTCGGGACGTAGTCCACTGCAACCAGTATGTACAGATTGCCAAAAGATGGAGGGAATGAGCCCATGAAATCGATACCCCAAACAACAAAAATTTCACAAATGACAGAAATATGTTGGTGCATCTCATCCCGGGAAGAAATGTTACCTGACCTTTGGCAGCGGTCGCACTGTCGTGCGAAGGTGTCTACATCCTTGAAGAGCGAGGGCCAATAGAACCCCGACTGTAGCACCTTCCGCGCCTGCGGTTTCCTCCATGGTGACCTCCAGTAAATCCCTCGTGGCATCAAGACAGGATGTCTCCCATCTCGTGCTCCATGACGCAGCGCCGGATCACGCTATCTGCTCCGATCCTAAAGAGGTACGGATCCTCCCAGAAGTAATGCTTCAGGTCGGAGAAGAACTTGCGCTTTGTATGAGTAGCCATCCCTTTGGTGGCTTCTTGCCCACCAGATAATTTGCAAAGTCAGAATACCAAAGGGCCACGCTGTCCACCAATGTCATCACCATCAATCTCTCACCCGGGAAGGAGTCATCAATCTCTTCCACGAAGTTTTCCACCGGAGTGGCTTCCAGTCGTGAAAGATGATCTGCAACAACATTCTCGGCTCCCTTCTTGTCCCGAATCTCTATATCAGATAGATGAGCCTAGGCTTTGCATCAGCCTTGCTCATCAGATAGCGAATCGCCGAGTGATCTGTTTAAACCACTACATGGGAGAGCACCAGATATGGTCGGAACTTATCAAATGCATATACCACAGCAAGGAGCTCCTTGTGAGTGGTGGTGTAATTCTCCTGTGCATCGTTCGAGGTCTTCGACGCGTAGTAGATGGGCTGGAAGTGCTTCTCGCATCTCTGACCTAGAAATGCTCCGAATGCATAGTCACTCGCATCGCACATCAGCTCAAAGGGAAGAGACCAGTCAGGAGTCACCATGATGGGTGCATGGGTAAGCTTTTCCTTCAATGTCTCGAATGCCGCTGTGCACTCAGGAGTGAACTGGAATGGCACATACTTCTCCAGCATCTTGGTCAAAGGCAGGGCAATCTTCGAGAAATCATTAATGAAGTGCCGGTAGAAGCCTGCATGACCCAGAAAGCTGCGAAACCCCTTCACAAAAATGGGAGGAGGTAGCTAACTGATAGTCTCAATCTTTGCGCGATCCACCTCAATCCCTTGCTTGAAGATTTTGTGCCCGAGCACAATCCCGACACGGATCGTAAAATGGCACTTCTCCCAGCAGAGTGCCAGATTAGTCTCCTCGCACCTCTTCAGAGCGAGTTCCAGGATATGGAGACAATGAGTAAAGGAGTCTCCATAAACCGAGAAGTCATCCATGAAGACTTTCATGATCTCTCCGACCAGTCGGTCGAAGATCGCCAGAATGCATCTCTGGAAGGTCACCAGTGCATTACACAGCCCGAATGGAATCCTCCAGTAAGCAAAGGTACCAAAGGGGCAAGTGAATGTGGTCTTCGCCTGATCCTCTGGTGCGATAGGAATATGGAAATAACTAGACATGCCATCCAGGAAGCAATAAAACTCATGGCCAGCCAACCTCTCCAGCATCTGATCAATGAAAGGTAGGGGAAAATGGTCTTTCCTGGTGGCGTCGTTCAGGCGCCGGTAGTCGATGCAGACTCTCCAGCCGGTCACAGTCTACATCAGAATAAGCTCGTTCTTCTCATTCGGGACCACAGTCATCCCGCCTTTTTTCGGGACCACCTAAGTGGGGCTGACCCACTTGCTATCAGATATAACAAATATGATCCCTGCATCCATTAGCTTCACAATCTCTGCTCGGACCACTGCCTCCAAGTTGGGAGACAATCTCAACTGTGGCTGCCTGACTGGCTTAACCTCATCCTCCATCAGAATTCTTTGAGAGCAGAAGGATGGGCTAATGCCTCTGATATCTGTGATCTTCCATGCCATGGCCCGGACATACTTCTGCAGCAGAGCCACCAGCCTGCTCTTCTGCTCGGGTGTCAGATCCGAGCTGATAATGACCGGGAGCTTATTCCCCTCCCGGAGAAATGCATACTCCAGGTGAGAGGGGAGGGGCTTAAGCTCCAGTTCTGGCGGCTCCTCCAATGATGTAGCGATCCGGGGCGAGATAGGGATCAGCTTGAATGGTATCTCTCGCCCCTCGATCGCTACCTCGTCTAGCTCCGCGAGCTGCTCCTTCAGCTGTACATCCTGTGATGCCTGTTCCCCTAGAAAAAGACAATGCTCGAGGAAATTGTCAGTATCCGCACTCGTGATGGCGAGTGCGGTCTCAAAATTAGCAATAACATCACAATAGTCTAGATCATCATAGAGCTGGGGGTGTTTCATATTATCAGAAACAGAGAAGGTGATTTGTTCACCCCCAGCTCGCAAAATCAATTTCCCATCATTCACATCAATGAGCGCCTTAGCGGTGGCGAGAAAAGGTCTACCCAATATTAAAGGCACATCCACATCCTCATTTATATCCAAAATCATAAAGTCAACAGGATATGAGAATGACTCTACTGCGACTATCAAGTCCTCTGCAATGCCCCTAGGATGCACAATGGATCTATCAGCAAGTTGAATGCTCATCCTAGTATCACTGGATTTGCAGCTGTGCTAGAGCCTCCTCCGCAGCCAGTCGCGCCTTTAGAGCCCGCTTGAAGTTCCTACAGGTTCGTTCAAGCTCTTGGTCTAATGGTAGTAAATCTCCCGACTAGCTACGGGTCATGCACTACCTGCACACAATCAGCAAAAGCAACCCGTGAAGGCACACAGGTGGAAGAGAGAAAATGCAGTAAAGAAAATGTTCTTCATACCCAAGTGAGAGAAAGTTCTACTCCATAGATAGAGAGAGGAAAACAGAAAGTCACACTCATAAAGATGAGGAAAATCTGCTCTGGAATGTCAATCTTCACTCCTGGGTATGCAATCTGGGTTTCAATGGTGAGAAATCCACTCCAAATAGCTCCTAGGGTTTGTTCTTTGCACTTTCTCTCCCTACAACTCTTTTTTTGCTCCACAAAGTCGATTCCCTCTCCTTTGGCTCGAATCTGCCTCAAAAACCCGATTTTGAGCGAAATACATGCTAAATTACGGTCATAAACAAGTTCTGCCCGTAATTCGCCCAAAACGCGCGTTTCACTTAACACTGATGAGAGGAATTACGGTCGTAATTACCCAATTACTACCAGTATTTGAGGAATTACGGTCGTAGTTGCTTTGACTCTTGCCCGTAATTTGCTCTGCGACAGGAATTCTCAAGAATTTGGCTCGGCATTGCATTTACGGGCATGACAGAAGCAATTACGCACGTAAATGGGCAGGGGCTGCCCATAATTTGCATCTTGAATCGCCAACTGACCTCCAAATGACCCGAAACTTGCGCTTATGCACCTCTTTACTTGCTAGGACCTGAAATACGACAAAACAACACAACCTAGCATAAAATAGGCCAAGGAACAACAAATTCGAGCTAAAATGGTCAGGAAACAAGAGTTAAAACATGTGTAAATACGACGCTATCAGTTTCCCCAACCCTTCTCTTCCGAGATTCTCCCCGAATTCTCGACCTAACTTTTCTTATCAAAACACTATAGCTCTTCCTTGCTATTTCTTGGTTTTGATCTCTCGAAAAGGTTAAGTTGCTTTCTTCTCTGCTCGTCTTTTATACTGATCACCAACTAGCCGTTGTACACTTTCCATCTCTGTTCGTCTTTGATTTGAACACCTACCATCTTGCTCGAGCGACACATAAGGTAAGTTTTCTTGTAATTCGGCCAGCTTTGCATCTCGATACTTCTTTCCATTTTGAGACCATTGACAAGGTTGCTCTCAACAATTTTTTGGCGTCCCGAAAACATAACAGTGGACAGGCCATCGAGGGTGACGAGACGAACGTGTGCGGGAGACGAACGGTCGGTAGGCTACCGATCTACTGAAGAACATGTGGAGATCGACACAGATGGATGGATCCGACTTGGGATAATTGCCCCCTTCCCACAACCTCCTCCACAGACGAGGACACTGCCAAAGAAGGAGATGAAATCGAGGGTCAAATTCGACCTCTTTTCCTTCACCATCACGCGGCTCCGTTTCGCCGCCCAGTTCCTGTAAATATCACCTTTGATTACAATCTTAAACCCGACCGATTCCATCAGAGGGCGGCACTGAGGATCTTCCATTAGAGGGTGGTATAGGGAATCAAAAGATGGGTGGTTGATGAAGGAAGAACCACACGCAATTAGAGGAGAAATTGAGGGGTGGTCGAGGCTTAGAGGAAGCGGGATTTGGATCTGATGGCATGTCCGACGGTGGAGTTAACAGAGTAGAGGGCGGTAGCGTGATGGAAGGAGCAGCCGACAACGATTTTTAGAGAAGAAGAAGAAGATAAGAAATGAATGGTTCTCAATATTCTTATTTATTTTCTTTGTTATATAAAAAATTGGTTTTTTTGTTTTTAATAAAAAAATGATGTGGATGCCACTTCATCCTGGGATGCTGAGTCACTAACGGAAAAAATCATTGTCCGTTAGTTTTAACAACCAACATAAATTTTGGGCCAAATTTGTCCATTAATTTGAAAAGTTGGCCATAATTAGCTGGAATTCTGGCGGGTACCAATGCTTGTGATTATTTTCCCTTCCTATGATTGTTGCCATCTATAGAAAAGAAAAATTGTGTTCATGAATAGAAGAATCTATGTGTACAATTGTACCAGAAATACAATGATGGTTGCCCAATTTCTTTTCTGTTTTCCTTTTACTCCACGACGCCATTTTTTTGGTCCTATGATCTACAAATGTGCTAGAAATATTTGATTCCAAGTATCAGGTACACCAGGAAGACACCAGTGAATGCAATCTGCATTATGCATTGGGTCGGCTCTCTCTTCTTCGGTTAGCAACCTCCCTCCGGTCTCCGTATAAATCGAGCTGTGAGCATCTATTCTGTAGTCCGAGAGCTGTGTTATGTTGAGAAAAGTTATTGGAACTTTCATCCTTCCCGTTACTGCATTAACCATGCTCATCATCTGCTTGTTAGAGCCAGTGCTCCAGAAATGCCTCTTCATCACAGGCCTCGTCTCGTTGAAGCATTTCGTCCCATTCGACTTGCCCCAATCCGCACTCCTATGCACATAAAACAAAGGATTGATTGATACATCTTATGTCTTATTTGTTTTGGAGGGTTTTGAACGAGAAGCAAGAAACGTCAAGTGTTTGTTGGGACTGGAATGACCTTGTGTGGGTAGGGGACATGGTAGTGAAGAAGACTCGAGTGTTGTTGGGATTAACGTTCGAATCAATCCAATTGGCCCAAGTCCTCAATCCTACTTTGTAAGCAACTGGGGTGTCCAACACTTCATACCCTTCTGCCCCATTTGCAAATGAACCCCAACTGCAAAGCAACCAAACAAAATGGTCAGTAGAATGTCACCGTATTATGTGGCGAAACTGAAAAATCACAGTTGGACTTACAGGGTTTTGAGAGTGAGACCACTCATCCACCAAACATAGCTATTGAAGACGAGAATGTCGACGCCTATCCAGTTCTTGGCATGTTTAGCCACTGAATCCACTTTTATTATCCTCTTCTTTGGGTCCCCTATGATTGGTCTGTCTGTGTTCGACTCTACCAAAAACGGAGCCCAATAGAATTCAATCGTCGCATCATATTCCTAAAATAAGAAGGAAAAATACTAGATTACAAAGTTGGAGGAAATATTTATTTTAAATTTGGAGATCTGAGACTAACGATTCTAAAAAAAATAGAGGTAGAGTAACAAGTTGATATAATAACAAAACTCATAACAGTCTTATTAACAATACATGATTTAACCGCGAAAACCTAATTGTCTCCTAATTCATCATGTTTTTACCTTGGCAGTGAAGACTGTATGAAAGTCTCCTCTTTTCAGCGACTTCTTATCTTGAGGAATGATCCATTCAACCAAACACACGAATGATTGCCATTGCCCTCTCTGTAAAGAATCGCCCACGAACATCAGCCTTTTACCTCTCAGTTTCTTCAGCGCAACCTCTGCATCAAATCTGCCAACCAGAAAGACATCCCCACTGCAACATCAGTTACTATTTACTAACAACTCAGTTCCCCTGTTTTATTGCTTGCATCACAAGTATCAAACTAGGTAATGCATCACCAACTCAGATTACAAAAAAAGTTGGCCGAGACAAAAAAAAAATTGTGACCTTGGAAGGGTACAATCTTCTGGCTGCCACTCCCAGTGTCGATAATCAGAATCCGGGCGACCGTTCTTCACGCAGGAAACTTGCCTGTCAAGGTACGGGCAGCTTCTATCAGTGTAGAGAGGCTTGATTGTCTTGTTAAACACCCATTTCCCCGTGTTAACGCTGCATTCTTCCGGGTCGAACTCGAACCGATCGTCGATCACAGAGTTTCTCGCCTCGTCGTGATCCGAATTCCGATGTTCTGAAGACCAGAAAGCAGAATGGATCCATCCACATCAGTTGGAAATCAAAAGAACATTCACACTCTGTACGTGTCTCTCATTACTGTTTACTTACTTGATTTTCTAGCACCGCCGTTTTTTCTGGAACAGGACTTGACCTTGAAGAAGGCCCAAGAAGAGTCCGCATACAAAAGGGCAACAAAGGCAAAGCTGCAGAGGACTATAAAGACGATGGAGTAGGGCAGTTTCCCTCTGGAAGGCTTCACCGAAGGTGAAGCAGAAGGGGCAGCTAAGCTCATGGTTTGCTTTCAATCCAGAAAGGGGAAAATGGAATTGATGAGGAAAAGTTGTGGATTATAGCAATGGGAGGATTGTTGGAGCTAAGCTGTCAGCTGAATTAAGGCCAGCAGAGGCAATGATTATGGGGGTTTTGGGAAGAAGGTTCTGTTTTTGTTATAGTTGGAGAGGTCGGCCTGGCAGTCTGGTATATCTGTGTCAGCAGGGGAGTTGGTACATTTTTAAAGGTTACTGGTGGAGCTGTGGAGTAGAAGTGAAGTCAAAGCAATGGGATTTATTTTATTTTTGTGTTTGTATCATGTTATTGGTACGGTTTCTTAGGGGTTTCTTTTTAGCAATGGAAAGCGAGGAGGAGGAGGAGGTTGTGGACTTTTGGGAGTCAGTTGAAAGGCTAACGTCTTTGGGGCTCTAACAGCAAGTGGATGGTACCTTACTTACATATATATATTTTTCATTTTTCAGCTAATTAAACAACCTGTTTAGTGAACACAATTTGGATCTTATCAGGGTAACCTAACATGTATTGTATCTGCCTATTTTGTGCATTCCTGCATTAGTTGGCGGATGTCGTTATATTCATTATGTTTATTAAATTAATTCAGTTGATTATTTGTTTATTTGGACATACTAGTATTAGTTTTTGTTTAATACTAATGTTATTTATTGTATCTTGCTACGGAAGTTATTGTTTACTTGTTGATTTAGAACTAGTTTACCTAGAGGTAAGGGATTATGAGGTTTATCTTACAAATATGGATTTGTTACAAAAATACAAGACACAACTAACAAAAAAAAAAACATACTTACACTAAAATTTCTCAAAATACAATTGGTACGCTTTGTTGCACGGTTAAGCGACATAGGAAGCAGATTATTTGGGGTCTTCGAGCCTGCTGCGTATGATTAGCCAACCTTACGGCGGCAAAAGTAGTGTTTCCAGTGGCGGACGGGTGAGTAACGCGTAAGAGACATCAATGATCTAGACACTAATCGCTTCAACCTGTCATGATATACTCCTAATATAGGTTAGAACTTCAGACCATCGTAATTTTAAACTCGGTTATCCAATGAATATAATTAAAATGGGGAATACTCATCGAAACGTGTCTGAATTGCCACAATAGCTACACCTATAATCTATTTAACACTTTGTTTACTCCTTAGTCCTTACATTGGTTTGTCAAAAGAAGTAGGATATGCTATAAAAGTAGTCTGCTTGAAATGAGATACATCCCTTTTCTTGTTTCCGAAGCCAAAACCAATTCATGTGCACAAAATTCGGCCAAAAATAAATAATTATACATGAAACCCACGCACTCAACAATCAACATAAATAATCAACTTTCACCGGAAAATGAATAAATAGTCAACTCATGCGTTCTGTATGTTGCAAGGGTGTCAACCTACGGGGTTGACTCATTTTGACTCTGAACCGATGAGAAAAATGAGTTGTACACATTTGCTGGATCAACCGTTGCAAGGTATTGGGTTGAAATTCTAAATTAAACATTTGAATATTGATGTTATATAAGTGTGTTTGAATTTTCAATAAATGTTGAATTCAAAGACGACATGTTTTTTGGTGTAATGTTATATGTTATTTACTCATATGTTCGATGAGATTCGATATAATTTAAAAATTTATGAACAATATAATGACATTTTTCGTATATCTGAACTAAATCAAATTAAAACAATCAAAGCATTAACTCTCAACTCACTTGCTCAATCGGGCCAACTGACTAAACCGGATTAACAATCTTGCCATATTGGATGTATGATCTCATTTGTGATTTCCGATATCTTATTGCTAAATAAGTCATTGTTATTATGTAAATAAGTCGTTATTAACCCAATGAAAACACAAAACTCAGTTTTAAAAAACCATACTGATGGATACCTAATCCTCCGCGCATGAGGTAATGCAAACCATTTGTTTAAAGTCTCGTCAAAATAGGAATGCCATGAGTCGCGAGCATATCTCAATGGGAGTTGCTAAAGGTCGCCCTTAGAATTGCTAAAGGTCGCCCTAAAAAAGTTTAAAGTTACACTTATAACTCCCTATCTTCTTTACCTTCCTTTTATCAAACAAACACCACTTGACCTAAAAAAACACTATCTAAGGAGAGAAAAATCCACCATCGTCATTTTGAAGCCGATATCGTCGGTAGGACGTCTGAATCATGAGTAGCGACTCCGACGAGGTAAATACCGAAACTGAAAAACGAAAAAAAAAAAAAACCAAAAAATGCCCAACCGCAATTGACCTGCGGTTGAACCATGGCCGGACCGCAAATCCCCTGCGGTTGAACCATGGCCAAACCGCAAATCCCCTGCGGTTGATCCATGGCTGGACCGCAATTGACCTGCGGTTGGACCATGGCTGGACCGCAAATCACCTGCGGTCCAGCCATGGTCCAACCGCAGGTCAATTGCGGTCCAGCCATGGTCCAACCGCAGGTGATTTGCGGTCCGGCCATGGTCCAACCGCAGGTCACTTGCGGTTGGGCATTTTCTGGTTTTTTTTTTTTCGTTGAATAATTTTTTATTTTTTATATGATTTATGATTTGTTCCATGAGATAATTTGTTGGGTTTTGATTTATATAATTTTCTAGATTTATTTGCATAATTATTTTTGGAATTGAAGGATTTAGCATTAGAAATTAAGATTAGATTTGGCCTTAAATTAAGATTAGATTTAATTTGGTCTTAATCTAGAAAATTAAGATTAGATTTTGCATTACAAATTAAGATTAAATTTATTGCATAAATAATAGATTCGCATTAGAAATTAAGATTAGATTTGGCCTTAAATTAAGATTAGATTTAATTTGGTCTTAATCTAGAAAATTAAGATTAGATTTTGCATTACAAATTAAGATTAAATTTATTGCATAAATAATATATTCGCATATGAAGATTAGATTTAATTTGGTCTTAATCTAGAAGATTAAGATTAGATTTTGCATTACAAATTAAGATTAAATTTATTTTATCATATGGTACTCATTAAATTGACGATATAGAATGTTAAGTTTTTTTTTTTAATTTGTAAAGTATCACTTATAAATTCTGATAACATTGCAGGATATTGGAAGTTACAATCCTGATGGTCATGATTACACCTCGGATTTCATTGATGGCGTGAAATACACTACGGAGTTGCAAGCATATGAAGCAGCTACTGAGATTGCCAAGGGTTTTGGGTTTTATTTGGTGAGGGCATCAAACAAAAAAAATAAGAATGAAGGTACTTGGCGACATTACTTACATTGCACTCATGGTAGGAAGAAGAAGTCGACGGAACCTGATCCGAGTAAGGAAAGGAGGCCTCTTACATCTACTGAAAAGTTGGGGTGCGAGTTTCAGATCAAGCTTGAGCGGTCAGGTGATGGATATTGGTTGATCCTAGGGGTGGCAAATACAAAGAATCCTGGTGCTAATTTGGGTTTCCACAATCATCAGTTGGAGCTATTTCCAGAAGGATCAAAGGGAAGGAATGTTCTGACTACAGTGGATAAGCAATACATCAGAGAGCTGAGATCAGCCGGTGTCCCACCAAGGAATATCCACAAGGCAGTGAATGAGAGAAAAGGTGCAAATGGAACACACAACAGAAAGCAGATTTATAACGAGTTGCAAAAGATAAGGAAAGAAGAGCTTGGTCAGATGACAGCCTTACAGTATACTTTCCGCGTGGCGCAGGAGAAGGGTTAATATGTGCAGTATATGGACGATCGTAACGTGCTTACACACTTGTTCCTAGCCCACCCTGAGTCAGTAGTGATGTTGCGAGCTTGGCACCATGTGATCGTGATAGATGCAACATACAAGACCAATAAGTATGATATGCCTTGGGTTGAGATTGTCGGCATGACACCAGTGGGATTGAACTTTGTCATTGCATCTGCAATAGTGTACGACGAGACGAAGGAGTCGTACCAGTGGCTTCTGACGCATTTGCAACATCTTCTTGGCCCCATTGTTCCAGATGTGTTTGTCAGTGACAAGGCAGGAGGATTGGTTGAGACCGTGGGGGTAATGTTTCCATCATCGACTCATATATTATGTCTTTGGCATATGGATAGGAATGTGAGAGCAAAGTGTCTAGCGGAGGTGAGAAGGACGACTCATTGTGGTATAGATGCAGCCAAACCGACAGTGGATCATATCATGGCGTCTTGGCCGGAGTGGGATGACCATAGTGATTACGGGATTTCGCCTTGTATGATGTGTTGGCATTCTGGACCGTTATCAACTATCGTGAACCTCCTACTCGGCCGGAGTGGGATGACCATAGTGATTACCACCGTGGTGTGTTCCAAGGTCTAGTACAGGAGGTTCTTAATAGAGGCGACGAGACCATTCGAGGTGCAATCGGCCTACTCCGGAGCCATCTTCATCCTGAAAATGATGGCATTGATGAGCCGCATGGGGGGACAGCCCCGCCCCGGTCGCCCAAGGACGTCCACCACTCGAAACCTATCTCACTTCGAGCATGTGGAGAGGAAACGAGGGAGGAGAAGTTCAAGACTTCCGACTGCAACTCCGGACAATGATGGAAATACAGGTAGACAAACTTTTTCTATTAGTTGTGTTCAATTGTCCTCAATATAGTGTACAGCTAATCTATTTTTTTAAATGAGATAGGTGGTGCCCCGAATGTGAATGCACAAACCAACTTCGAGAATGAGACGGAGCCGGTGATCCATAATGATACAGGTTAGAAATTATATTCCTAATTTCGGATAAATATATAGTATAACTCTTTGTATTAATTTAGTGTGTTATGCTCTTTGGCTAGATGGTGCCCCGTGGAGGGTTGCTCGGATTCCCAATACTAGTTGGAAGAATTACCCATGGCTACATTGTTTGGAATCCTACGTGCAACGACTATTTCGTGGTTGGTTCAACCCTATTCCAGATGGACACTGTGGATTTCGTGCTATATCACAAGCAGTTACTGGGGACCAAAGCAATTGGCCACAAATGAGACGCGTTGTTGTAGAGGAGCTTGAATCCCGTCCTGAGCTTTATAGAGACTACTATGATGGAATAGCAGATGGAATAGAAAATGGCATTCGACGTTGCAGGTGGGCATCAACAAGTGGCTGTGGACCTCCCAACTGGATGGATAATGCGGAACTCCTCCCACTTACTCCGGTCCCTCGTCAGCAACACGGGACCTAAACGATCCACAATCTGCTCTCTCAACTGTAAATAGAAAACAATGTTAGAATAAATAACAAATGTTCTTTATATTTGGAAAAGCAAAAGAAAGTCATAACTAACCTGATGAACTAGTAGTGGTCGAGGCTGAGGCACCCCATCAGTGGGGTGGGTGATCCGTGGGTGCGATCTAGTCAGAAACCAGTCAATGTACTCCTCCACGATCTCCGATGGGTGCTCGCACGGCCGAGAAGCAAAATCCAACTGTAGACGACGGGCTGCCACGTTATCCCACAACTGATTCACCCACGGATCCCAATAGACTATGTAACTGCTGCCGGAAGCCGGACGGTACTGGTCATGTGGTACCGTCATAGCACGGGGGATAATCTGTCGGTATCCAAACTGGCGCAGACAACGTGCAGGATCGTATCCCTCAGCAATGTCAGAAAAGCGAATGGGGCCAGTATACAAGGAGCGGGTAATATCTGTGTGGCCATCTCGTCCGTACGGAGTCCAGGTCACATCATCAGCTGAAAGCTCATCCAACAACTGTCGATAACGTGCTAACCTCTGTCTAGCCTCATCCCCACCTGGCAAACGGGGAGAAATCCACGAGGAAGCACGAGGTGCATCCGGAGACTGCGGCAGCTGACTCGGACGGAATAGAGGAAAGTACTCATATATCCAAGCCTGAAGCAGGGTCAAACAACCACAAAGACCCTTACTACCCGCTCGTGTGGCCACTCCCAACTGTCTGTAGAGATAGGCTAGTGCACCAGCTCCCCAAGCGTAATCAGTCAATCGTCGATGATCCTTCAGAAACAAGTTGATCGCAGGACGAAGGCGATCACGACTCTTATCCACAAAAAGCGTGGATCCCAGTAACACAAATAGGTAACACTGCACCTCCATCTCCTTAATCTTCAACTCTCCCCCACGCACCAACAATCCCTCTGCATGCATAGCACCATTATCGTACCACTTAGACTTCCACTTACCACCAACCTGAGCATCCACCGAAAGTCGAACTAGACCACCCATGTCTGACTTAAGAGTATCCGGCGACGCCTCATCTCCCATCATCTCTCCGTCAACCGGTATCCGAAGAATGTGATGCACATCGTGTATAAGGATCGAAATCTCTCCAAACGGCATGTGGAAGGTGTTTGTGTCCGGCTGCCACCTCTCCACAAATGCCGACAGTAGAGCCATGTCAAAATGCTGCATCATGCACCCTGTCAAGTGAGACAATCCTGTGGCTTCAACCATCTCCTTGGAACCCTCTGCACTCCACTTATATTTCCTCAAAGTCTCTAAAGCTTTCGGCCTATGGAAGCCGTCCAACACTCCACGGTCCTGCTCAGGGGTATTCCACAGTACAAGACCAATGTGACCTCCAAAGCTAGGGATCACATCGGGAATCACTGGTCCACCTGAACACATCGGAGACTCGGCTGTAAGAAACCACGACATATCTTTCCTCGTGGTCTTCCTCTTCCTATTTCCATCTCCGCCATCCTCGCTACTAGGTCTGGACGCATAGCGTCCATCGGGGCCACGGAAGTGGGAGGAGGCAGTAGAAGATATCCCGACCCGCGCCGTCTTCCCTACGCCTAAATCAGCTTGAGGTGGGGCATCCCCATCCTCAGCATCACCAGCAGCATCACCAGCACGATCACCAGCAGCATCACCAGCATCTGGGGCATTCCCAACCTCAGCCTCACCGTCATCATCATCATCCTCGTCAATGGAATCACTCCAATTAGCCTGCCATACCGGTGCGCTCTGTGGTGTAGGAGTACTGGTAGTACCTCGACTAAGAGACAACTGCCCCACAGTAGGGTGGCCGTCATGACGCACTACATCCGCCTTCTTTTTCTTTCTAACCTTAGGTGGATTTTTTTCTTCATTTTCCTTCCTACCAGTCGCCGTAAGTCTACAAGCACGACCTTCCATTCTCTCCTTATTTCTCGCCTTAATCATATCCGGTTTACCCATTCCATGTCCAGACATCTTCAAAAAAAAGTTTGAATTATTAATAATGGATTATTAATAATAGAGTACATAAAGTAATAAATTAAAGATTTCCATAATTAAAATTGTAAAATTAATAGTTTGAACATTTATGTTACGTTCTATGTAATCATTATTTACATAAAAGTAAATAATTCATCAAGGTAAAATTATTAATAATTAAGTAGATAAACGAATTACTTTGAAATTTTGATTATTAAAATAATAAAAATACATTTTTAATTTTTTTATTATGTTCTTTAAATTTGTTATCATTAATTAACATTTTTCGAAAACGTTTTTTAAATTTTTATATAATATAACTAAATTATAACTAAATTAACATTATAACTAAATTAACATTTATCGAATACGTTATCATTAAATATAATTATAACTAAATTATTTTTATTAAGTATATTTTTTAATTTTTTTATTATTATTAAAATTAATTTAACTACAGAATAAAAACAGAATTTAAAAAAAAAAAAAACCAACCGCGGTCAACGCGCGGTTGAACCGACGGCTGACCGCGGTCAAAGCGCGGTTTGACCATTGGTCAATCGCCCTTTGACCGCGGCCAGCCGTCGGTTCAACCGCGCGTTGACCGCGGTTGACCGTCGGTCAAACCGCGATTGGACTGCGGTTGCTTTTTTTTTTTTTTTTTACCTTCTTCTCCGGCGACTGTGGAACGAGATGGGCGGCGACGATGGGCGACGGCGACTGGTGGGCAATGGGGACGGAACGCGACGGCGGCGACTGTGGAGCGCGACGGCGACGGCGACGCGATGGGCGGCGGCGACTGTGGAGCGGGACGGCGACGGGACTGGCGGGCGGGAGTGCACGGCGACGGGAGTGGGCGGCGACGGGAGTGGCGGGCGGCGGCGACTGGCGGTCGAGATCGGCGGCGGCGACGGGACTGGCGAGAGGAGTCCGGCCGGTGAGGGAGGTCGCGGGTGGTGAGAGCAGTTTTTTTTTTTTTTTTTTTTGACTGTAGTGGTGAGAGGAATTGGGGGGAAGTAGAATTTGAAAATTGGTAAGGGTTTGTTTGTTTAAGTCAATTAGGAGTTTTTGTTTAAGGGTATATAAGTAATTGTACATTCAAGTTAGGGTGATGTTTAGCAATTCTTAGGGCGACATTTAGCGATTCAGATCTCAATAGTCAATACTAATGTTCGCCCGGTGGTGAGTGTATATCAGTTCCAGTTAGTTATACTCATGTAAATATATTTAGGATAGGTTAACACATTATGATAGATTACACCTAAAATCTAGTTATAACTTGTTTACTCCGTAGATTTGTTAGTCAAAATAAGTAGGCTAGGCTAAAGTAGTCATCTTTGAAATGAATGCCCCTTTTCTTGTTTACGAAGCCAAAACCAATTCAAGTGCACAAAAATCGACAAAAAATAAATAATTATACATGAAACCCACGCTGTCAAAATAAATAATCAACTTTGATCCGACAATAAATAAATAGTCAACTTATGCTTTATGTATATTGGATGGGATGGGATTAGGTGCTAACCTTTATAGGGGTTAGCACCGTGATAACTAGCAAAAAACGCTACTAAAAATAATAAAATCACTACGGATTATTATAAAATCAATACGACATCTAAGCTAAATCACTACTAATTCAAACTAGTAGTAGTTTTTTCCTTGGTTAGGACGGTGCTAACTATTATACAATTAGTACCGTAGCCGTTCCCTATACTGGATGCATGATCTCTTTTTTTTTTTTTTTTACAAAAGGTCATCATTTTTTTTTTACAAAAGGTAATCAATATATTGATCAGAGGTGAAGATAGTTACATCTTGATTTTTTTTGGGTAGAAACCTAAATTTTATTCATAACTTTAAACATCCTTCTCAAGAAAAGAAAGGATAGACATAGGAGGCTTTTGGGCCCAGAGTTCCGTAGTGTCCCAATTACGTGCTAAATGGGCCATAGCATGGGCCGGTTTGTTTCCGGTTTGTTTGATGAAACTCCATTAAACCGACCCAAGACCCTTCGCTCGATCTCTGATTTCTCAGGCCATCACCCCACCCTCCTGTCTCGTCGTTTCCTCTGCCTGAACCTGTTGAATGGCGATGAGATAGTCACTTTCTACCACCACCATCTGGAGATTGTGCTCCTCCACCATTTCCACACCAAAGGCGATCGCTCGTAGTTCTGCTAAGTCCGGCGGCCATTGGACCCGTTCTCGTCGCACCGCTACGAGAAGGAACTTCCCATTCGCGTCTCTGGCTACAACTTCCAAGCAGTCCCTTCCTCCGCTAGCACCGCCGCATCCACATTCAGTTTCACCCAGCCTTCCTGCGGTTTCTCCCAGGTATCCTTCCTCCCTAACCCCTCTTCCTTTTCCATGGTGTGATGCGATTTAAATTCCTCCCAGTAAGCTAGGGCACGACCCACAATCTCCCATTCTTCTGCTTTTTTCTTGTTGAACATGTGGTTATTCCTCTCATTCCCAATCGCCCACAGTAGTATGCCAAATTTCTCCAGTATCTCATCTTCATCTTTATCCATAACCGCACTCAGCCAGCTTCCAGATGATAGGTTAGGTTGTAGCTCAAATAGGGATTTGAACATTAAACCTTTCCAGATTCCAATTCCCCGCTGACATTCCCTGACATTCCCTGAAGATGTGATTTTGGATTTCTTCTAGAAAGCAGAAAGGACATTTCGTCGCTGCCTCTTCCTTTCTTCTCTCAATGTTTTTTCCAGTTGGAAGAATCTCATGAGCCAGTCTCCATAGAAAGATTTTAACCATAGACGGGATCGTTAACTTCCAGAGTCTTGCCTAGTCCAAAGGATCATAGATTTCCGCGTTCACCTCTGTGTCATTTTCTTCCATTTCTTCTGTGAGGACATTTGTATCTTGTCTCTTAGGATCTTTCTGCATCTGTTGTTTGTATGAGGATTTGACTGTTTAACAACCCCTTCTCTCTGCACTCCAGACTAGGGTGTCGTTAGCCGGTTGCCTCGGAATGGGTATGGAAAGTATCTTCTCCCTGTCGGCCTCATTGAAGTTAACATGCAGCATATTAGTTCTCCAACTTCTTTGTTCGTGGTCAATTAGATCAATGACTCTAGTTAAGCCTCCTATATTTGGTTTAGGCGTAGTCACCCGAAACTCAACCTCCTCTGCACCCGCCACCCATTTATCTAACCAGATGTTAATGGTCGAGCCATTACCAACCCTCCATCGAATTTCATCCTTCACAACTTGTTGAGCTGCCATAATGCTTCTCCAAGTATAACTAGGATTGGATCCTAGCCTTGCTTGTAGAATGTTAGAATTTGGGTAGCACTTAGCTTTCAGCATTCTAGCCGCTAGGGATTCTGGATTGTTGATGAGATTCCAGATTTGCTTCCCCATTAGTGCTATGTTGAAAGTTTTCAAGTCCCTAAACCCCATTCCTCCTCCCATCTTTGGCTTACAGAGTTTATGCCAAGCTCTCCAAGGGATTCTCCTTTCTTCCTTTCACTCAACACTCCATCAAGTATGAGAAAAACAGACATTGAGTAGGTAGCCTGAGCTTGTGCCACTGATTTTATGAGTACCTCTTAGCTGCTATGGATAGGGTTTTCCCTTTCCAATGCTTTATTTTTTTCCCTTATGCGATCAACCAGCACTTGAAAGGCTGTTTTTTCTCTCTGCCCATTACTATAGGTAGCCTTAGATATTTCTGATGGAATTCCACCTGTCGCATTCCAAGAATGTTTAACAATTCATCACGTTTAGCCTAATCCACACTTGGACTGAAACTGAGCTCATATTTCTGCATATTGACCACCTGACTTGACTCCTCCTCATAGATTTTTAGTAGGTCCTTCAACTGACTGCTTTCTTGGGGAGTAGCTCTTGTAAACAGAATACTATCATCCACAAAAAGTAAATGCGAGATAGTTGGTTCTTTGGTCGAAGTCTTTAGTCCATGTAGCTTCCCGTGGTCCGTACATTAGTTAATAGGGTAGCCAGACCTTCCACACAAAATAAGAATAGATAGGGTGACAATGGATCACCCTGTCTTAACCCCCTTTATGGCCTAAATTCCTTAGATTTGTGGCCATTAACCAGATAGGAAACTCCCCAACCTCTAGGTAGGTTCTCAACTCACTTAATATGCCAGTGCTTCTGAAAGAAACGGGCAGACATCCCATCTGGTCCAGGGGCCTTGTTTGAACACCCATGTTTTTTAATGCCATCCATATTTCCTCTTCTGTGAATGCCTCAAGAAGTGTCTGATTCATTTTTGTCGTCACTCTAGGGGTGACTAGAATTCTACTCACCTCTATTCTTCTTCCTTTGGCAAATAGGCCCTGCATATACCCTAGCAAGCAAGTTGTCACTTCCTGTTGACCTGTGAAAACACGGTCAGTTTCATCTTGGAGCCTTCTTATAGTGTTTTTTCTTCGTCTCTCAAAGGCTTTTCTATGAAATAACTCGTGTTATGATCCCCCTCTTTTAGCCAATCGGCCCGTGATCTATGTTTCCATTTTATTTCTTCTTGGAGGATGATGTCATTTAGCTCTTGTTCGAGTACTTCCTCTATTGTAGCATTGACTTAGTTCATTTTCTCTTTTCTAGAGCCTGCAGAGCTTTTTCTGCCTTTTTCCTTCTCAGCTTCAGAGAGCCAAACACTTCTTTACTCCAGGTAATCAGCTTGTCCTCACACTGTTTTATGCGCTCCAGAGATCCAATTCCCCCTTGTTGATTCCATGCCTCTTCGATTATCTTATTGCAATCCTCATGCTTCTCCCAATATGGTTCATAACGGAAAGACCATCCCCAAGTAATATCTTCTTCCTCCAAATTAAGTTTGACTTGAATGGGTACTTGGTCTGATCCGCATCTCTCCAAATGGTATACTCTCATATTTGGATAAAGTTCCTTCAATTCCCTGTTTCCCATAGCTCTGTCCAGTCGCTCTTCAATGTAGTCTTGATCAACTCGATTATTTTCCCAGGTGAAAGTTCGACCATAGTAGCCACAGTCTTCTAAGTTGAAAAACTCAATCGATTCCCTGAACATTTCCATCTCCTTTGCATCAGGTTCTCGGTTTCCACTCTTCTCCAGATAGTATGTGATTAGGTTAGAATCCCCAAACACTAACCATGGAAACTGAACCTGTTGGCTCAGTCTTACCAGTAATTCACAAGTCTGTCGTTTATGACTTGCTTCAGGCCACTCATAGATCCCTGTCAGCCTCCAGGGCTAACTGCAATTTGGCAGCTTGATTTCCACATCTATATAGTGCATATCTCTGCCCTTGACCTCCAGCGAAATATCTTCCTTCCACATCATCAAAAGTCCCCCGCTCTATTCTCGCATGCTGCCACGCCTTTCCCATAAAAAAACCAAGCTCCTTAATATTCTTTTCCATTCTTCCTCATATTGTTTCGTTTCCATACGAAAAACAACATCGAGATATGTATGACGTAGTAACGTCTTAAGCCTCTCAAACGTTAGGGTATTCCCGAGATCTCGGCAATTGTAGCTCAAAAGACTCATTGAGCTGGGAGGCTTTGCTCCTTGGCAGAGTCCGCCACATCGCAATTCTTTGCACTTTCTGAGTTTTTTGTGTGAGCTATCTCTTGAGGAAGCTTGAAAGTCAGTTTCTTGGCTTTCTTCAGCTGCCTCTTCCATGTATCCTTGCTCCCCAGTATTCTGAACATTTCTCTTCTGAGGGGTTATTTGTGTAGGGGTGTGTACTCGTTCTTTAGTCTGCTCCTGTCTGTGCCATGCTTTATTTCTGCTTCTCTAGTGATTCATCATTTAATCTGTGCCCATAACAAACTGCTGTAAGGCCCCTCCGATCCCCAACCGTCCTAAACCAGGATTTTGAACTGACTGGGGACCATCAATCTTTGGTGCTATTGGCGTGTTTGTGACCATGACTTGTTCTTTTGCATGTTCTGCTTCCATAGCATTGCGCTGGATATCCTTCTCTCCCTGACCCTCTCTTACTTCAGGTGTTTTTTTGTCTTCTATCTCCTCAAGGGAGGTATTTCATGGTCCGGATTCAAACCCGTGCTTTCCCAATCAAACTTCTTTCTCAGCGATGCCCATAACATTTCATCTTCTTACTTCAGGGAATGCGATAGCCAGCTACTAAGCCCCGGTGCTCCAGCTCTCAGGTCCATCCCAAAAGGATCTGGGTTTAGTCCTGAAGGTTTCGGGCATCACAGCTTTGGATGCCCAATGCGACCACATGAATGACAAAAGATAGGTA